GACACACACCACCATCCATGATAGATTTGAAACTAGATACAAGACATTATTTTTGTTATATGTAATTTTTTTAATAATACGTGAAAAATATAGATAAATACGCTAATAATTTGTGTATTATTGTAAAATATTCCAAAAATTCGTATTATTATAAGAGTACATACATACATATATAATATGATAATAAAAAAACATTTATGAACACTTATAATACACGAATTTACTAACTATATATTTTTTTCTCAACTATTAAAAACAAACACGATCTCTATGCTTTCAAAACCGAAAAAAAGGAAAAAAAAATTGTATTGACTTTCAATCAATTTAAACAACTACCCTTTGAAACCCAAACCGAATCCTCTCCCTTGATCCAGCCTCCAGGTCATCATTAAACTTAGAATTTTGTAAAGTCATTCACGTGGTGTTTGTTTTATTGGACCAAGTAACTGAAGTACCGAACAAAAGCACTTTTTTTTTTCTTTTTCTGGTGAACACAAAAGCGCATATTTCCATCATGCGCTGCTGGAATCACGGCAGATTGAGTTCTCTCTTCTCTCGCGCTCCCACAGACCAAAAAGCAATCGGAAACTCGAATGGAAACATGAATAACACTTTTTTTCTATCTTCGGTTAATAACACAATGACATGTGAGATAATTTTTTCACGTGTCATTGTATATTGACGGGATAACAAATGGACCATACAGAGTCCCACGGGTTACGAGCATGACAATTGGAGGATATTGGCTCGTCAAATTATTTATTTATTTTTTAGGACATGATCACTTACTCACTCATCAAATTTGTTGGGCAAAAAGTATATTCTCTCTATCAGTTTGTCTATTTACAATTTTTTTCTGTTGCTATTTTAAAGTGACAATCGTATTAATTTTGGAGTATAAATAACAATACATATAATTATACGAATAAGAGTTGCAACTGCCAATTCTGTAAATAAAAAACAGAGTATTTAGTGAAAGAGTAATATTAAACCACATTTTGATAATGTAGCACATGATATGTCAATCCATATCGATGGCTACATCATCAATTTGAATTTACTCAAATCTTTCGTTACAATAACACTAACTTTTAATTACTATAATAATTAATAAATTAAAATAACAAGATTAAATTATTAAATTGAATAAATTAAAATTATTGATGTGACTAATGACATAAATTGCCACGTCATGTGGTATAAAATTATGATACCGATACACCTAACTTGACACATGCATGAAAAAAGGGACCTAAACTTAGAGGCTATAAACTAAAGTGAACTTAACAGAAAAAAAGAAAAGTTGCTCGTAGCCCTTGCAACTTAGATCTCCAAACTTCTCTTGGCTTGGATCTACCATTGATATTGAAGTGCTCAATAATTTCCATGCCACTGCCATCATTGTCTCCACAATATGAAGTTGTGAATGTCGACGTCCTTACCGAACTTGATATATGCGCATTTTAGCAATTTTAACACGTATTTTTCTTTATCAATTATGTAACGTCCTTATGTTATTGTTCGTCTTCAATATGATTATTATATTTTCTGTTGTCCGATATCAATCAACTTATGACTTCACTTCAGCAAAAGAGACTCTTTTATTGGCAAGATAGTTTATTTCGTAATTTCATGGTCTCATTAAAGTTGTTTACTAAACTATGTGGAATCGAGATAGGAATAAATTGTATTGATTCCATAAGTTGTTTACTAAAATGCACTTGTTCTAAATAAATTATTAAGTTCAAGTGGTGCTAAAATATGATACTTGGTTTGAATACTTCAGGTATATATATAGGAGTTTACAAGGGTGTTATACAAGGAAATAGATACAGTAATCAATTAGGAGAATATCTCCTAATTATACAAGGATTGTCAACTATATGAAAACAAGGAAATAAATCACCTAATTAATTTAGGAAATAAATCTCCTTGATTTGTTCGATTAACTCACATCAACACTCCTCCTCAAGTTGATGCATGCACATTACCAATGCCCAACTTGGTAAGTGAGTAATAAAATACTTGTCCACAGATAGCTTTTGTCAAGACGTTCGCCAACTAATCTTCTGATTTTACAAAGGGTAGGCAGATGATGTTGTTTTCAATATTTTCTTTGATGAAATATCGATTCACCAGACATGTTTTGTTCGATCATGTTGAACTAGATTATGAGTAATATCGATCGCTAACTTGTTATCATAATGTAACTGCATGGGCTTCTCTGGTTTAAAACCCAATTCTGTCAAGAGTCCTCTGATCCACAATAATTCACAAACTCCTTGAGCCATATATCGATACTTTGCTTCTGCACTAGACCAAGCAACCACATTTTATTTTTTACTCTGTCAAGTGACTAGGTTACCTCCAACGAATGTAAAGTAACCCAATGTAGAGCGTCTATCTGTAATGGAACCTGCCCAATCAGCATCTATATATCCAACAACTTCAATATTTCCATTTTTTGATAATATTAATCCCTTCTCAGGAGACTTTAAGTACGTTAAGATCCAATCAACTGCATTCCTCTGAGAAACATTGAGTGATTGCATAAACAGACTAACCACACTCAAATCATATGCAATATTTGGTCTTGTGTATGTAAAATATATCAACCTTCCAACAAGGCACTGATATTGTTCCTTATTGGTTGGCACTTGGTCCATATATCTTCACATAACTTGTGATTCATCTCGATGGGTGTGTCGTCAATCTTACATCCTAGCATTCCTATTTCAGTGAGTAGTTCTTTCACATATTTCCTTTGAGACAGAAAAATACTAGTTTTTGACATTGCTACTTCAATTCTGAGGAAATATTTCAGAGCACCTAAATCCTTCATCTCAAATTCCTAAGACAAATACTTTTGTAGTTTTTATTGCTCTCTTGTGTCGTTTCCAATTATGACCATGTCATCTACATAAACAATTAATGCAGTGATTTTTTTTCTCTATCACTCTTAAAAATAGGGTTTGATCTGAATTACTCTGAGTGTATCCAAAATTCTTCATCGACTTAGTAAATCTTCCAAACCAAGTCCTAGGAGACTGTTTTAACCCATATAATGACTTTCTAAGCTTGGAAACTTGATTTTTCTTGTTATGAGATTATATTCTGGTGGTAAATCCATGTATACCTCTTCTTCCAAGTCTCCATGTAAGAAGACATTTTTAACATCAAACTGATGTAATGGTCAATTTAGATTTGCTGCTAGAGACAGTAGGACTATGATAGTGTAGAAATGAGCCTCTTTGTGAAAAACCCTAAAAACAAAAAAGGAAAAACTACATAAAACCATTTCAAGTTCATACCCACCTTTAGGGACATTTAAGAGTACATACTCAAACCCCCGAAAAACCTACTTGGCGAGTTCAAATGAGAGAGAGAAATAGAGAGGTGGTGGAAGTGGGGGTGGGGGAATTGGAATGGGGTTAGGAACGATGAGATTTTTTTGTATAAGGGGGGGCAGGGGGGTGAGCTGGTTTGCGCTTTTTTGTTCTTTACTTTTTCTTTTTGATTTGATTTTTCTTTTATCTTTTTGTGTTGGTTTTTTTTATTTGATTTTCTTTTTTAGTTATTTTAAAGATGTATTTTTTTTTATTATTTTTTGTATACATGGAAGTCCATTTCATTAAAAAATAGGTCCCACATTTGATAAGTAAGCATTTAACAGATTAATAAACGTTTGTTTAACAGAGGGGGTAAATTATAGGTTTTTCGGGAGTTTGAGTATGTACTCATAAATGTCTCTAAAAGTGGTTATGAACTTGAAAATGACCCTATAATTTGGAGGATTTTATGTAGTTTTTCTAAATTTTAAAAAAAACCTAATAACATTCCAAATTTCCATAAGACGGTGACACGTACTTTTAAAATAATTTTTCTATTGAATATAATGCTCAATACTCTGCAGTTTACCTCGGATATTAGATATTATTCCACTAGATATTTTTAACTTAGGCTTTTGATTTGGATCTGTTCGGTATAATTGGAAATCTTTTTATATATCCTTTTCCAGCACAAACGCCCACCCCTAAATAAAGTATATTGTTTCTCTTTTCACTTTTTCTAAATTTTCTTTTTATTTAACCTTGCATTTATATTTTCTTCTCTATTTTAATATTTTCCATTCAACATTTGAAGAAGAAAATTTTGTCATCTGAAGAGCCATTTCACGAAAGGGATTGAGTATACACGCATGTGTAAATACAACTATAAACAGCTCATATTCAAACAGGGTAAAGATCCTCTGCAACAACATTACCACCCCATCAAGAAAGGATCCACAAAAAGACCGACACATGCCTTGCCTTCTAAACTGATCAGGCAGGGCAAGATGAACTTCACTGCGCTGATGTAATATATATTATTATTAACGACAACTGTTTAATGTTATTAAAATAGTATGACCAATTTATGTTTATTTATTTAAGAAATATGACCAATTTATATTAACAGCAAGGAAGGTGGTAACTAAAACTCAGAATTTTTTTAGTGGTTTTTTTTTAATTTAAAAGATAACAAAGTAATCGCCATTATAATATGTGAGATGATCTTAATTATTTTTCGTGATAATAATGATGAGTTTTTTAATTAAAATAAAAATAAATAATTATAAGGAGGATTCTCTGCAAATCTTAACAAACAATAAAGGAAATATTTTTGCTCACCACGCTAAATAAAACTTGATAAGGAAAACTACTAAAAAGGATGATGATTTTTATTATTGTCATAATATATTGTGTTTTTTTTTAAATATATTTTTTTTATAGAGATATCATAGGAATTTCAGTCATCATTTTTAAAGGATTACAATACAATTTTGTGATGTAGGGTTGTAATGAAACCGATTGTAGTAAGAACCCAAATTCACGACCGCAGGGGAATCTTACATCCACACCGCGTAAACTGGAATGTTTGTAAGCAACCAAAATCCGACCCACGAAATTCCCGATTTGTCCCTTATAAAACCCAAAAGCAAGACCCCAACCATTACCATTCTCACATAATACAAGCACAGGACAAAAGCTTCCTTCTCTCCGTCTCCATTGTCTTTCTCTGCTAATTGTGACATTCTCTCTCTCTCTCTCTCTCTGACTACTTCTCTGCAAAAATAAAAACATCACCATACTCGAAAAGGAAACAAATGGACACATAAGACGACCTCATTGCTAGAAAACAAAGGTCAACAAACCTTCCAAAACCCGCAAAACCCATTTGATAAAATGATGATCATGAGGTGTATTGGGGAGCCGGCATTGGGTTGTTGGGTATAAGAAGCAGTGGGTTTGTGTTGGAACTGTTAAAGGGTTTGAAAAAGTAGCGACTAGGGTAGGGAGGCTGGACTTGGTCTTGTGTTTCTTGCTTTGCTTTGCTCTGGGCGGCGCATTTGAAAATTTCTTAAACTTTGTGTGTGGCTTTGTATTTGTATAAGAATTTGGAGAAGACTGAAGAGGGTTGGTGTTTAATAGGTAAGCTTTTGACAAAAAACTCTCCATCTCCCTGTGATTGCTTTATGCCTTTTTTTTTCTCTTAGTTTTAGAGCAAGGGAGACTGTATTTTTTAATAGTTTGATTTTCTCTGTTTCTTCCGGAGCGAGAGAGAAACAGAGTTTTGAAGAGACAGTGAGATTTTATTATTTTTTTGTTTTGTTTTGTTCCTCTAGTTCTGAGACTACCGAGTAAGCAAAGCAAAATTTTAATCTGTATATTTCATTTGTTGTCTATGAAAGAGGAGGGTTGGATTTGTGTTTGTGTTTAGCTATTTCAAATTTTAATCAATTTCTGATGTGCCATGAATTGCAGGTTGTGGTAAGCTTTATGGCATCTGGATCTCGCTTCAGTTTCTCAAGTGGATCCCCCAGGGTTCGCCATATTAGCCAAGCCAGCAATGATCTTGACAGTGAGATTGGGAGTGCTGAATTTTCTACCTACACTGTCCACATACCCCCTACACCTGACAACCAGCCCACCGGAATTTTGATGCAGCGGTCGACTTCTCAGAGGTTGGAGGACCAATATGCATCGAGTTCTTTGTTTACAGGTGGCTATAATTGTGTTACACGAGCCCAGTTGAAGGAAAAGGTGATTGAGTCCGAAACTAGCCATCCACAGATGACCGGAGCACAAGGGTCGTATTGTGCTGTGGAGGGTTGTGATGCAAAGGTTGTGACTGATGAGAGGGGGTTAGATATAGTTCCCTGCGAATGCAATTACAAGATTTGTATGGATTGTTATAGAGATGCTATAGCAAGTGGTGAGAGTATTTGTCCTGGCTGCAAACAACCGTATAAGGAGCAGCAACTTGACATGACCGAGTATGCTGTGGCGAATCGGCAGCCTCTGTCTCTACCATCTACAGCTGGGATGTCAAAGATGGAGAGGAGGTTGTCGTTGATGAAATCAGAATCTACAAAGTCAACAGCATTGATGGAGAGTCAGACTAATGACTTCGATCATAACCAATGGTTGTTTGAGACAAAGGGGAGTTATGGCTACGGAAATGCTATGTGGCCAAAAGATACTGCCAATGGAAGTGATGATGGAATTAGTGGCGATCCTAATGTGTTTCAACATAAGCAATGGAAGCCACTTACGCGCACGTTGAATATCTCTGCTGCAATTCTCAGTCCCTATCGGTAAAACTGTTTGATCCTCTCTGTTTTTCTGCGCTGTTTATTTCTTGCCACTCGTTTTGCTACTTATTTCAAAGTGGTATTTTTGGAGATTTTCATTTCATCGTTATTTGTGAGCCCACACAATTCATTGCATATAAGCTTAGTTAGTACTGCTTGCTTTATAAGCTTACACTCTTTAATTTTTGTTGGATATAATCTCAGGCTCTTAGTACTTGTTCGAATGGTGGTCCTTGGATTATTTTTGCAATGGAGAGTCAGAAACCCTAATGACGATGCAGTCTGGTTGTGGGCTATGTCTGTAGTTTGTGAGATCTGGTTTGCCTTCTCTTGGCTACTGGATCAGCTTCCGAAGCTCTGCCCCATCAATCGCATTGCTGATGTTGATGTTTTGAAGGAGAAATTTGAAACACCAAGTCCCAACAATCCTACTGGAAAATCTGATCTCCCAGGCATAGATATTTTTGTATCTACGGCAGATCCAGAGAAAGAACCACCTCTTGTCACTGCAAACACCATTCTATCGATTCTTGCAGCTGACTACCCTGTTGAGAAGCTTTCTTGTTATGTTTCTGATGATGGAGGTGCACTTTTGACCTTTGAGGCCATGGCAGAAGCTGCAAGTTTTGCCAACTTGTGGGTCCCTTTCTGCCGGAAGCATGATATTGAGCCAAGGAATCCAGAATCTTACTTCAATCTGAAGAGAGACCCTTATAAGAATAAAGTGCGCCCAGATTTTGTCAGGGATCGCAGGCAGGTAAAGCGTGAGTATGATGAATTTAAGGTAAGGATTAATAGTCTTCCTGATTCAATCCGGAGACGTTCTGATGCCTTTAATGCTAGAGAGGAGATCAAGGCTATGAAAATGCAGAGAGAGAATTCAAATGACGAACCAGTGGAGAATTTAAAGCTCCCAAAAGCTACTTGGATGGCTGATACAACCCACTGGCCTGGCACTTGGTCAGTTTCTGCGCCTGAGCATTCTAGGGGCGATCATGCCAGTATCATGCAGGTACATAAAAGTTCTATTGGTTTTGTAGAATTCAGCAAGTTTCTTTTATATGCATTCAGATTGAATTAAATGTGCTGGTTAACAAGTTTATCTATACCATGTGTAGGTGATGTTGAAACCTCCTAGTGATCAGCCACTAAATGGCACAGCAATGGATTCAAATTCCATGAATCTAAGTGAGGTTGACATTCGTCTTCCCATGCTAGTTTATGTTTCTCGTGAAAAGCGGCCTGGCTATGATCACAACAAGAAAGCTGGTGCCATGAATGCACTGGTTCGTGCCTCAGCCATCATGTCCAATGGTCCCTTCATTCTTAACCTTGACTGTGATCACTACATCTACTACTCCCAGGCATTGAGAGAAGGCATGTGCTTCATGATGGACCAGGGTGGGGAACGCATTTGTTACGTGCAGTTTCCTCAGAGGTTTGAAGGAATTGACCCATCTGATCGCTATGCAAACCATAACACTGTTTTCTTTGATGTCAACATGCGAGCCCTCGATGGGATTCAGGGTCCAGTATATGTAGGAACAGGATGCCTCTTTCGTCGGACTGCCCTTTATGGCTTCGATCCACCTAGCAGGAAAGAGCGTAATGGTTTCTGTGGTGGTTTCTTCACCAATCCCAAGAAAACTTCTTTGGTGGCTTCTGCCCCTGAAGTTGCCTCTCAAGACAGCCAATCAATTGAACTGGGAGACATGGAGGAGGAAGAAATGAGTCTTGCTCTTATTCCTAAAACGTTTGGAAACTCAAGCTTCCTTGTTGACTCAATCCGTGTGGCAGAATTCCAAGGTCGGCCCCTTGCTGATCATCCATCCATTAAACATGGACGTCCGCCAGGTGCTCTGACTCTTCCTCGGGAGCCTCTTGATGCATCAACAGTTGCGGAGGCAATCAGTGTAATCTCATGCTGGTATGAGGATAAGACTGAATGGGGCCAACGAGTTGGGTGGATCTATGGATCTGTAACGGAAGATGTGGTCACAGGCTATAGGATGCACAATCGCGGATGGAGATCTATTTATTGTGTAACAAAAAGAGATGCATTCCGTGGCACTGCCCCAATCAATCTCACAGATCGGCTTCATCAGGTTCTCCGGTGGGCCACTGGCTCTGTTGAGATTTTCTTTTCCCGCAACAATGCTCTGCTGGCCAGCTCAAGGATGAAATTTTTGCAAAGGATTGCTTACCTGAATGTTGGAATCTACCCTTTCACTTCCATTTTCCTCATTGTCTACTGCTTCCTTCCTGCACTCTCACTCTTTACTGGTCAGTTCATTGTTCAGTCCCTCAACATAACCTTCCTGGTATACCTCTTGGGCATCACATTGACCCTTATTCTTCTTGCCGTGCTTGAGATCAAGTGGTCTGGCATTGCACTAGAAGAGTGGTGGAGAAACGAACAGTTTTGGTTGATCGGGGGCACAAGTGCCCATCTTGCTGCGGTGCTCCAAGGTCTTCTAAAGGTTATAGCAGGCATTGAGATTTCATTCACTTTGACATCAAAATCTGGAGGTGATGACGGGGATGATGATTTTGTTGATCTTTATGTCTTCAAATGGACAGCTCTGATGGTACCACCAATTACTATCATGATGACTAACTTGATCGGAATCGCAGTTGCAACTTGTCGAACAATATATAGTGCTACACCAGATTGGAGCAGCTTGCTTGGTGGTGTTTTCTTCAGCTTCTGGGTCTTAGCTCATCTATATCCCTTTGCAAAAGGGCTTATGGGAAGAAGAGGGAGGACACCGACGATTGTGTTTGTGTGGTCTGGTCTTCTAGCAATCACCATATCTCTCCTTTGGGTGGCTATCGACCCGCCATCAGGGAATAATCAAATTGGGGGCTCATTCCAGTTTCCATGATGCATGTACTCCACACATTATTTTGAAGGTATCTTATCTTCTGTCCACCTAAATGCTACTTTAAGCCAGCACCTGCAGGAAGTCGTATAGGGTCTCCCACTGAAATGTACATTTTCTAGCCATTTTTTGACTGATTTGAACTTGATATTCATAGGAAAGTGGATTCTATACATTTGTTGATATGAGTATTTTGTTTTCAGATTTAAAGTTACATGAAATACCATCACTAGAGCTGAGTAATTCAATGTGTTTGGCCTTGCTGTTATTTTTTCCTTGTTATGTCTGCGTAGCTTCTCCGGAACTTAAGTGGACCATACAGTGAATTGGATTATGCTGAATCCTCCAGTTTCATTTTATTTTTCTAAATGCACAGAAGGATTTGGCAAAAAAACAATTGCACAAAAGAAAATAGGTATTTACGTTCATTTTTACGCCTCTTATCCATTTGTCAAGGGCTTATTTTGGTTAGGCAATGGAATGTAAATTTTACAAATTGGTTAAGGTTTTAGCTGTGGAAGAATTACATTAAATATTTCCATAAAGAATAATGCAGCCATTGAAATCGAGAATATTTTTGCTCACCACTCTTAAATGGTGGTGAGCATTAGTAACATGTTAATTGGTGTTGGATGAGTGTGATTTAGTCTACCTATTACACGAATCTAAAAAATTCAACTAATTCAACGTCCATTAATATGATGATAATGCTCGCCACCAAGAGTGGTAATGAAAAATAGTGTCATTGAAATCTATGTGGTCAACTGATTTGGGTGAGATTGTTGAAGTTGATAGATTATTACTGACCATATCGACAATTGATTACCAACTTTAAACATTTCATTTTCATGGAGCACAAATCTATGTGGTCAACGGTATGAAAAAGAAACCTTGCATATGTTTTTGTTTCCTATTCCCAAATGAGGAATAGTGAGGATTTGGATAAAGGTTTCCATTTCCTAATTTTAAGATTAAAAAGAAGATTTTGAAAACGAAAGTCAAATTCATTCAGTCTTAAAATTAATAACTATCAATTGCCTACTTATATTTAGATTCTGATACGAAAAATCCTATACAAGTTTTTAACTGGCTGCAGCAATCCCATTGGAAAGCAAAATCCTCTGTTCTCTCTGTTTTCCTCTGTTTTCCTCTGTTTTCTAACAGAACTCCAGCCAGCAATGACAGAGAAGTTGCAGCTCTACCGTGAGCACCTAAAGTCTTTCTTTTAATTTTGTTGGAGACTTGGGCAGCAAGCAAAGCACCCAATCCCAATTGCAAATGAAAGCATGACTCAAACAATATAATAATTTGGCTTCGAGATATAGAAAAGTAAAGAAGCCATAGAATGCTTATTAACCAAGGCACCCATGTCACAAAACAAAACCAAATAACATAAAATATCCAGCAACCTTATAAACACTTCAAAAGTTAAAATACCAATATTAAGATATGTTTATGGTTTTAATAGAAAGGGGAAAAAAACTGGAGTTCTAATAAAGCAAAATAGAAAGTAAATGCAATAAACTTAAATAAAATTTTCAATCTCGGGTATGAGACATTATATCTTTGTAAAATTCTTCTTGCAGATCCATCTCTTCCTTGTTCTCCTCAAGCTGCATTTTTATCCTCCGTTTTAAAATGCGGTTTTCCTCCTGCACCTTCTCGAGTTTGTCACGAAGTATCTCATTAGTCTCTTCAGCATCTTTTCTAAGCCTCTGTTCTTTAGGAAGTTTGTCCTTCAACCAAATAACCTGTTGGCTGTCCGCGCTCACTTGCCTCATTGAGTGTAGGACCACCTCTTGGTAAGATCTCAGCTCAAATTTCAGCTTAGATTTCTCCTCGGTATGCTGGTTGAACATATCCAAGTCTCGTTTCACTGCCATGTAACCGTAAAGCTGTCGAATACCACCTGCACGAAACAAGATAGGACCGCAATCCCAAGTATCCCTGCCTAATCCTTGCACTGCAAAATTCTTGTGCAGCAGCTCAGCCTCAAAATGCCCTATTGCAGAGGCCTCAAAAATCAAAATGCTCAGCCCACAGTGTCCCTGCGGACCATATGAGTGTCGAGTCTTCAAATAAGGATAAGATCCGAAGTATTCAGCAAGCTCCTCGGTTCCCATACCAATCCACTTCCCACTTTCATCCTTTTCAAGTCTAGTATTTGTGATGACAACCATCGGAGGCCAGACAATTTTGGAATCCTTTTCCTCATCTTTCAAACCTACCCATTTACCAAATACTTCACCAGCAGCCACAGATTGAGTCATAACTCCTCTCATCTGCAACTCCACATCCAAAATTTTTGCAAATTCTCTGTGGAGCTTCACCCTGTTTGATCCTTTTGTTTCGGCATGTCTCTTCAGGGGCTGCACGCCTTGGTACCAGTCAATGGCACCACGACCACCTTTGCATGCAGGACAGTGCCACTGTCTATCAGGATTACCAATCTCATCTCCACTTAAACCATCCAAATTTTCAAAGAATTTCTTGAACCATCTATTTTGCTTCCGAGTGCCATGGCTCTTTTCACTTGAATCAGAGTCAAACTCATCACTGAATAGCTCGTCATCGTATTCGTCAGTATCGCTCATATGATCAGAGTTGTCATCATCATTATCATCAGCGAGACCAGCAGCCACATTGTTGTCTTTTTTACCAGCTCTAGATTGCCAATTCCATCCATGGTCCAGGGGAGGGGGAATCAAATGTTGCCGGGCCAAAAAGTTGCTTCCAAAACCGCCAGTACTGTTAGGCTGCTGCCTTGCATTTCTTCCTCCAGCTGGTTTTTGAGAATTAGCAGTTTGTGAACCACCAGTTCCATTTCGCATACTTGGCTTCTGAGCATCATGAGCCGGTGCCCACGCCTTATAAGTAGAATTTTGAGGACCCAATTGGACTTGTTTTGCAGCACTGATACCAGCTCTGTTCTTGGATTTTCTGGAAATTACCGCCCACTCTCCATCGTCTTGTGCCGAGTCCAGGCTAATGTCTGCTACACCATGACTCAACTGCTTAACCTTCGGGCTATTGACTTCACGAACTTCCTTCCCTTTGGAATTTCCACCACCTCTTCTTGAACTCATCCTGGACAACAACTCTCTTGAGGGACCAAAAAGTTTAAAAACACTTCAAATAGAAGTATCTAATACCTAGTAATGGACATAAGTGCCCTGAAATCTCAGATTATAAATAGAAAACTTGATAACCTAGAGCAAGGCTGTAAAACTTTTGTAGGAAATCTGAATGAAAACCCATAGAAAATCAACATTCTTAATAAAATTCTGCAGATAATCAACATTCTTAATAAACCTCTGCAGAAAATCAAAGTTCTTTATGTAACTTCTATAGAAAATCAACATTCTCAATAAACTTCTGTAGAAAATCAACATTCTCATTAAACTTCTGTAGAAAATCAACATTCTCAATAAACTTCTGTACAAAAATCAACATTCTTCATAAACTTCTGTCATACCCAATTCATAAATAATGAAAGAAAGACAAAAATTCTGAAAGACCGAATTTTTAATACATTCAACATAATTAATGAAAATGAACATTAGAATCATTTAAAAAAAAAGGTACAAACCCACATTTTGGGGAGCATGAATCCATTCAACGAAACAAAATAAAAAATAAAAAACATAAATCAAAACATCCGAAGTTGGGATTGCTGCCATGAACGCGATCAATAGTATGACCAATATCAGCCAATGAATCCATCCAGCAAAATTAAAACATTAATAAAAGAATAAACAATAAAGAAAGATGTACCTGATGCCAATGAGATTACAAGAAACAAAAGATATTGGCGGAGCAGAGGAGGCGCCTTGCAAGATGAATTCCAACAGTCCACCTCCAGAGTCTAGACTCCAGAGACAGAGTGATGCGAAGAGTGCGTGGTGCCTAATCTGAGAAAATAACTTTCGTGGGTTTGGGTGTATATATAACATTTGTCTGTCTCTCTTTTCACGTGATACACTCTCTCGTAATTTGGAAATATTGTGCAACATATGCCTATAACTATTGTGTCATTTTCGTATAAATAAAAAAAAACTATTCTGTCATTTTAAATATAAGACCACGTAACAAGGACCAATAACATAAAGCCATGTCAGATACTCTGTTTCTTTCCTCACTTGATAAACTCTCATAATTTAGGAAAAAAAAATCGCGTGATTCGTAAATGTTGTGTCATGTAAAATAGACGACTACATAACAAGGACCAATGACATAAACTCATGTCATAGACACTGTATCTTTCTTCATGTGATACACTCTCGTAATTTGGAAAAAAATCGTGAGACTCGTGTACTTATAACTACTGTGTCACGTGAAATAGACGACCACATAACAACGACCAATGGCATAAAGCCATGTAATCATCAATCACCAACCTTGACAAGGGTAATTACCCATGTTAAAGGTAAGTTTTTCTTGTTATCTAAAGAAATTATATGGCTTGTGTGCCCATAACTGTCGTGCCATGTCAAATAGATGACCATGTAAGAGCATCTCCAATAGTAGTAGCAAATTAAAGTTTGTTAACCTATGTGGTAATTTGGAAAAGTTTATTTGCTACTTTAATAATTTGTGCCCCAGCAGTCTCTCAATTCAATTAATGCAATGTTATGAAAAAAAAGAAGGAAAAATACAAAAATATGTGAAGAAATTCTATGTATTAATTATTTGAAAAGAAAAAGTGTAGTTTTTTTTTATCATTTTCGATGTAGGTTTTGTTCTTCCAAAGTAAAATTAAATGTTTTGAAGAGCCAAGGTCAACATGTCAGTCCTAAAGAGAGAGACATGGGTTGCAGCTTTGGTAACTGAGTTTGACAAGTCTATTGGAGGAAGTTTTGTTGATGTGGCTCACTTATTTTAGCATTCCAAAGCTGTTGAAGAGGCTATTGAAGATGCGCTAACAATAGAGGTGTCAAATGGACCGAGCCGGCCCACTTAAGTAAGGCCCGGCATAGAATGGCCTATATCTTTGGGGCGTGCCGGGATGAGGTAATCATGTCCAATGGGTCGGCCTAGCCAATTTAAAGCCCATTTATTAAATTATACTTGTTTTAGAGAAAAATCATACATAATACTATAATATTTATATCTTGAATTCAAGTTTATTTCTTTTCTCTAATAATATATATTAAAATTTAATATTTTCTTTATATATAGAATAATAATT